TATTTGGGTCATTGACAAAGAGCTTGTGTGTGAAGCTCGAGTCGAGATGGAAGTTGAATGTCCAGAGGTGTTGCGTGTCACCGATCGTGGTTTATTGGGAGCAGGACGCCGAGCCTTGAGAGAAGATGTTCAATGACTAAGTGGCCGTTCTTCTTGATACCGTTTGTGTTGACAGCCATGAGACTGACGCCGTTCTACGCGTGCTGGGACGAATGGCCTTTTGCAACGAGTCACCAAGGCCCTCGCCACTGTCATCACCGAGCCATCACTAGCAACGCAGGTCTTCGGCACCAATACGATCACGATGTGGTCAGGGTTTGTCGTGTTCTCAATGATCTTGACGATTCCACTAACCTTTGGGTCTGCTGCAATTAAGCGACCAGGCAGCGTATCAAGCAGCGCTGTGGTCTCGTTGTTCAGCATCGACTAAGTCACCTCTATCATTTACGTCGCCTAGACCGCCTTCACAATCTTTGTGTAGTGTTTTTTAATAATAAGCGCCGACTCGATCGATGTTTCCATCGATTTGAGACGCCTTGCACTGACAGACACGATCTGCTTGCGCACACTGTGCTTTTTGTCGTGATAACCTTCAATTCGAACTCCACCTCCGTCGACTAGAGTAACCGGAAGTAGTTTGAAGTAGTTTGACGTAGCAATACCGTCGAGAGGCTGCAGAACCTGACTCGTGAGCAGCGCGGTGAAGTCAATGTATTTGCAACTGCGCTTTTTACGGTTCGAAACTGCGTGGAAACCATCGGCGTGGCCACCGAGGAGAAGAGAAGGTCCGCCAACAGCAGCGCGCTGTCTGGGTTCCTCGAGATCAGCGCGAGTTGGTTGCCCGCAGCTAGTGACTTGCCATATTGAGCGCAACCATAAAGCTTTGCATCACGTTTCTTGATCTTCTCGACAGCCTGTTGGAGCGAGGTTTTGAGCTCGCATGACGTCATTTGCGCGAATGTCTTGGGTAGTGCCGGTCGTTCCGTTGCTACAGAGGCCTTCTGTGTTTGATGAAACTTATAATAGGTTTGTATCGGCTGTATCGTCGCGGTTGGGGCAGCGAGAGGTGA